AATCGTAGCAATTTATATTAAAAGAGAATAAAATGAAATATAAAGTAAGATTAAGCGCTTCCTGGAGCTATATAATGTAAGAGAGATTTATCCCCATTTAAAATATTCATATTCTTAGCTCGAATTTTAGAGGGGTCTGAATGGCTGGATAGAGTTGTGTACGCATTTCTGTTCTAACGAAAGAGTTAATTAGACGCGCTTGTTTTCGAGCCAAGGGAGGCGATAAGAAATGGCGCGAGGCGGATGTTGACGACGTGAACGAGTCGTTTCAGACGACGTGATGTTTCAAGGCGGCGGTATAGGGCAGCGAAGGGGAAGGGCATGATGAAATTCTGCGGAATATTGAATTTTTCCCATGCTCTCGTGTGTCCGTTATCAGGAGGCACGATCAGCAGGTACTATTTCCGCGCGCGAGGCAGCGAGTCCGCATTTCCGCGCATCAGATTCGTCCGAGAGATCATCATCGCGACAAAATTATTTGACGTTGATACGCAGATGCCTTCGAGATCTGCGATAATTACGATAATTAACGACGAGATGCACGGGCGATTCGGCTCGCGACGATAATTCGCCTCCCGCGAATACGCCGACTCGCGTTCATCTCTCGCAAATTTGACTATCCGTGTTGCTTTTGGTACCGTGCCAGAAATCTAAAGCTGGCCCGCTTTGCTGTGCCACGTGCACGTAGAAAATAGAATAATAGTCGCATAGAGTTATCAAGGCCGTGCGGTAAAGCATTAGACGTAAATAAAAAAAAAAAAAAATTCTATTACCTCCGCTCTCGCGCGCAAAACACTCGACACATAAATAGCCTGATGATTGGATAGAACAATGCGAATACGCTATGCTCCAAAATGAAATTTCTTAGCACGTTTTGGTATGATTACAGGGCGTCTACTTGAATCTTGTAAACAAATTTTCTGATTTTTCAGGTATTTTTGTTCAAAATTTTAGGTAAAAAGAATATTTTAAAGAATTTTTAATGCAACTTTTTAAAATAAATTTTTTTATTGTATGTTTGCTAATGCTTTTCACTTATACATTGGAAAAACACAGAGCCTCTTAAATTTCTAGTGCAGGATTTGTAAATGTACTGAAAAAAATTAAATAATTTTTGTAAGGTAAATATTTTTTATTTTTTTATCATTAAAAATTACAATAAAAATATGCACTGCATATTGAATATTTTGTTAAGACATTAAATACATAAACAGAGACATATATACATATATTATACATATATTATATATTTTAAACATATAATTCACGTGGCTTGCCGACTGCTTGCAATATAAGAGCAAAATTATTAAAGAGAGAATTTTTTAAAAATCCTCTTTTAAAAATCCCAATAAAATTCAATGAAAATTTTCTGTTTTTCTCAGATACAAAAAAATCCCTGAGAATTCCAGGTTTTTCCAGGCAGTAGATACCCTGGGTTAACTTGGATAACCGAATAAAATTTTATGACAAATTTTAATAGAAAATATTGTTAATATTTCGATCGTTTTCCGTACGCAAGGTATTATGTAACCATCACGCCGAAGGCTAATTCTCTTTCCCCTCGAAGATCCTTTTCTCTTATCCTCGAATAGCAAAGCAGACCACACCGTTTGTAAATACCACGAAGTGTAAAACATTCGGCAGACTAAACACATTATTACGTCATGTGACAGTGTCGAAAATGGAGTCCAAGCAGAATATAATCCACTAATGAAAGCAAATCTTACGTCGGCGTTTCCATTTATATCCGTGGACATTACGCTGATCTAATCACAACATTTACTCGTCAACTCCTAAAATTTCGCAATCTACGATATATACGGAGTGTCTGAAATAAAAAGGAGTGAAGAGAACATAGTCTGATTCTATAAATAATTTTTACAGCGAGGGGATATCTTTTTCCGCAATTTACAATTGTCTTGCACCGAAAGATGGATTCAAGTAACTCGAGTACCTACACCAAACAGAAGAGAGAGGAGGAGGAACGCTTACAGAGCGAGAAAAGAACTCGAGACGTCCACGCAACGCTTCGAACAAAAATTTGAACACGATTCTCGGTAAAATAGTGTTCTCTCGCGTCGCGTCTCGACGAGATAAGCTAAGCATCATCTTCCCGATTTTTTTTGTTCCTCGCCAGCAGCCAGACAGTTTAGCCTTGGAAGCCTCCGATTACTCGAACTTCCTGCTTCGTAAGTACAGAGCAATTCAACTTTGCGTAAATTTACCAAGATACATACAGAACTCATACGAGAAACGTTTCAGCGATAAATTTCTAAGCTAATTTAAAATTTATTTAATTCGGTTGTTTCATCGTATGTTATCAGTATATATTTAAATACTGCGGAAAAAACAAGCTGTGTAAATTTTTTTTAGATTTCTAACGATCGACATTTATATAAAATTAACGATCTGACGAATAAAAAGAATTTAAATTAGAAAATTTTTATTGCCAAACCTGATTTGATCATATTATATCAAACTATTGAGCTGAATAGATATCGTCGTATTAAGTACGTCTTAATTCGACTTTATCGCGTCGCGTTATCAAATCATTTTCATACTCCGTTCATCTAAAAACCGCGCTGATTAAATAAACGTTGAGATACTATTACGAAAAAATTTGTGTGACGTGATTCTAAATTATATCGAAATCTTGTATACAATACAATCTTGTGCAAATAATAATTTTCCTCATATGTATATCTACGCTGGATGATTTTACAGCTGTTTGCACGAATATGTCATATAGTCAATATGTCATGATTGAAAAGGTCCCGCATATTTGGAAAAGATATATTCGTGTATACTTAATTTAAAATTATTTTCCAGAGATATACGATGTACACATACACTGTAAATAAAATATATAATTTCTAAATAAAAAAATTAATAAATAAAAATTGCCATAAATTACACCGTTATCTATTGACCGCGTTTAATTCACCTGGCGATAATGTTAAAACGTAGGTAATTTTTAATCGGTCAGAATAATGTTTTTTCTTTTCAGGAAACGTATCTTATAATCACATCGCGATCGTTACATAATGCTCATTCGTGCTTATTTATTACGGTCGTGCTTCGCGGCTTCATTTTCCGGTTTAGTTCTCCAGTTTCCGTGTCTCGTCGGTAGCGCGATTAGCTGCAGAATTTTTTATGCACCTGTTTTGAATTGCATCTCACGCATCGGGTCCCCGACGCGATCCGTTAAGACGACGCGGCGCGTGTTCGTCACACGCGTATGCGTGCGAGAATGACACGAAGCGAAACGCGCTTCGGGACTCGCTGACTCTTTGGTGCCCGTCCAACAAATCGCTCGCCATCGTTCGTTTCTTGTCAACGGCGACATAAATAATAAAGAAGTTTGATGTGAAAGAAGTTGAAAAGAGCATCAACCCGCCAATAAATCACATATAATAAATACAGACACAGGAAACTTGTTAACCAGGAAGTTACACTTCCGTGAAAATGAATGAAATGTGTGTGTGTGCGCTTTGTATACGATTATAATAATTTAAAATCGAATGATGATATTCACAATATTATATGTATGTAAAAAAGATAGTTATGCCACGCTTCGAAGTCGCCGAAAATTATAAGGATATTATACAATGATGATGTAAGAAATTATTATACATATAGTAACGTGAGTGTGATGTGTGTGTTTGTGTGTAGCAATAGATAATTCAAATGTATGTAAATATTTGCCTAAACGCGTTTTTCCAAAACATAAAAGATTTCCTATATATATACAGGGTGTCCCAAATTTAAATGTCAAAACTTTAGGAGCGTGTAGGGGACCGATAAACTAACAATAAGACAAAAAGTCCTTTAGAGATTTGCTCGTTTTTGCTTCGTTTTGAAGAAAATCGCAAAAAATCAAACAAATAATTTCCACCAAAAAAACTTAAAACAACACTAAAATTATTAGATTTATCAAAAAGTATTATAAAATAAAAATTGTAGAACATGGAATAAAGAAAAGAGAGCGAGTTAAAATCCTCCTGAGGTAAAATTAGAGGATTGTAGATAAATACGCGACAACGCAAAATTTTGTTTCTAATCTAATTTTACCTCAGGAGGATTTTAACTCACTCTCTTTTCTTAATTCCATATTCTACAATTTTTATTTTGTAATACTTTTTGATAAATCTAATAATTTTAGTATTGTTTTAAGTTTTTTGGTGAAAATTATTTGTTTCATTTTTTGCGTTTTTCTTCAAAACGAAGCAAAAACGTGCAAATCTCTAAAGGACTTTTTGTCTTAGTTTATCGGTCCCCTACACGCTCCTAAAGTTTTGACATTTAAATTGGGGACACCCTGTATATAATATAAATTGGAGTTGTAAATAATATTTTTTACATTCTTATTATTTAAAATAAGGAATTTTTCTAGATAAAATATGAAAATGTAATTATTTGTGATAAATTTTCAGAAAAGTCTATACTATTTTGCATGAATTTATTTTTGAAAAATATAAATCGAGAAATTGCTGTATTAAGTGATCTTTTTTTTCACTTTATTATTCACGTTAATTCAAAATGTATAAAAATAATATATACATATTGAAGATACAATCCCACGTTATATCTACATAAATATCTATATATATCTGGATTATATCTTGCCTAAAAATGAGATATTGAGGTTAACCAAATTTGAAAAATTACTTTTGCAAAATTATTTAAAATTGGCGACTTGAAAAAATTTACTGCGAATTAAATATATTTTGCAGAGTTCATATATGTGGTGAAAGGAAATATTGCAAACCTGAGACATTCTATATCTCAGCAAAAACCATGATAGTTCCACGATTGCAAAAGAGGATGTTAGCAATATCTTTTTTCACTCAAAATGTCACAGTAAAAGAAGGGAGTGTCCCCCACTCTCATACTTCGAAGTTGCACAACGATTATATCGTCTCACCGATTTTCAGTAGTTCCTTGAGCGGCTTATCTTGTTCTACATATAGGTAGAGAACAATGTCAGTGTGTCTCTACAGTGTACATTTCCGCCTGTCATTGAGCTTTTTCTTCGCTAAATTATGCAATTTAAGTGTTTATCGCGAGATGATAATAGATATGTAGTTATCAAACTTGATTAATTGATAAGTCATTGATGAAATCAATGACGAAAATCAATAAAATTTTATCAGTACCTTGAATTACGAAAGAGCGATTTCTACGAAACTGGACTTGAAACTATTTCAAACGTAGCCAACCGTAAACATGAATATAATATTATTCGTTCGAATATCGCTATAAATATACATGAATATGAATAATATTCGCGTGCATATATCAGATTACCGACATCCAAATTGCAGTTGAAGTTTTACAAAACGTCCTGTTATCAACGTTATCTGTTGGTTTGATTTCAATGAGATTACGAAGCGTTTATGTGCAAGAATTGTTATTCCTTCTACATATCGGGAAAAACACATTCTTCTGTTTTGCGTCAGTGCTGCGAAAAGAACGACAGAAGGAGGACACATTTTAATCGTGAAGTGAAGTGAAGAGCAGTGAAATATGTCCGGAATGGAGAATCAGGCATTTGAAGTAACTTTATTTTTCATTTCTTGTGTTGATATAAGCTTGTTTGAATGATTCATAAATCGTTACATATCAGTGTAAGAGGTTCTTTAAATATTTAAAGATAGAAGAGTTCCTTCAAATATTTAAGAATGGATTTTTTATCTTCAATTATATCCAAAATTGAAAAATACATTAAATAGAACTATGTTATTTCTTATTTTATATTATATTTCCAGTAAATATTTTGCAATATTATTCGAATATTTTATTCGTCTCTAATGCTTATTCGAGAAAAGCAAAATGTATAAATTATTTTTAAAAAGTTTGATACTTTTATGGTTGATAGGATAATGAATTAGACGTGTTGGAAAATGGTCATCGGAAAAGTGAACCTACAGCGAATCAAGTAAGCATCACCTTTATTTAACTGTTCTTGTTACTATCGTGAAGGAATGCCTTTGTTCGAAACAATCGATCCAATTATAGTTTCAAGCGCATTTGTGTGAATAATCGACGATAATAGTAGTGTATATTTTGCCGTTATTGGACAATATCGTTGCAATACATATTTTACACACACACACACACACACACACACACACACTAAACTCGTCTTAAAATAAAAACTTGAATAATAATAAAACAGAACAATTTTTACAATGTTCTACTGTTATAAAATATCGTTTAAGGGGCATACCCATTTGAAATCTCAAAAAATGAGTACATTTACTAGATTTTTTGCAGCGCAATGACTTCATAAAAATTTTTTATATTTTTTTTCGATATTAATACAATATTATTAACTACTTAAATAAAAATTCCCAGCTTAAAAATTTTTTTTTTTTAAGTTATGAGAACATTTGCAGAATTCCTCTAAATTTTAGGTGGCTGCACGGTGTGCATGAAAATGTTTGTAGATCATATCCGAAATCAAAAATACAATTTTTTTTTGTTAAATATATTAATAGCTATCTGCTATCCAAGTGTTTTTTCAAAATTTTTAAAAATAAAAAAATGGCGGCATGTTGAAAAAGTTTCGTTTTTTTTTTTTTTTTTGAAAAAGATCCATTTTTTTTTGTTTATAACAACAAAATGGGGAATCGGATTTAAAAAAGGCTTCGTTAGCAGATGCGGAATCTTATTAGGAACTCACATACAAAATTTGAAGTCAATCCGTCGAACGTAGCCCGAGTTTTCACGCACACCGTGCATGAAAATTTAAATTTGTAAATATTCGCATAACTTCAAATAAAAAAAATTTTTTAAGCTGAGAATTTTTATTTAAATACTTAATAATATTGTATTAATATTATAAAAAAATAAAAAGTTTTTATCAAGTTTTTTGCGCTGCAAAAAAAAAATCTAGAAAATGTACTCATTTTTCGAGAGTTCAAACGGATATACCCTCTTAATAACAATCGAAAATAATATTAATATGTAGCATTATTATCGCAGGATGCTAATTTTCATCGCAAATCACAAACACGTTGGAAAATCAGAAGCAACGCGACCGACGCCTATCTTTCGAAACACCGGAGAGTTTTCAAGACTTTTGGCTTAATAATTTTAAATCTCTTTATTGTAGCCTATACAATCTGGGCGAGTGTATATTGGAAAAGTAAACGTATGTATGTGTGCTTATTCGTGATTATTCGGTAGAATTTATAATCTCCGTTGCATAATTGATATCGAATTGATAAAGTAGTGACGCGTTAAATTTGACAATGTGACGTGTGATATAACGATATCCATTTCTCAGTTTCAGAAAATTATTGCGATCTTGAATGGTGCGATGGCTACGGTTTCCTGCTTATATTCGTAGGACTTATTTATCTCGGTCTATTTTATTTCTTGATCGTAAAACGATATTTTGGGAAGTACTTCGTACAATGTTTCCTACCAATAACGAATTCCCTGGAACGCTTACAAAGTACCAAGTGAGAATTTAACGTCATCCGATTCGATAAAAGTTATTTTTAAACGATTCATATCGATGATATCGTGAACATTTTCAGATACGGAACGTGCATTGGAGCAACAATCTTTTACTTGATTACACTAACAGCCATCATTATTTTCCTCATTCTCGATACCGCAGAATCCAGATACAGGTTAATTAGTATCCTCGGTATTATCGTTATACTGGGATTAGGCTGGTTATTTTCTAAACATCCGAAACAGGCAAGTGAATCATGATATCTTGAGATTGCTCAAATTTTGCAGCTTTTCATATAAATTTATGACTTTGATCGCACAATCTTTCTTTACGTTGAGAGAACGAAAAATATCATTTTATCCATTATATTGCTTGAAGCGTTTACAAGAGATAAGTTAATTCATTAACTTCACATGTTACGTAATAAATTATCTTCATCTGCTGCATCGCCTCCCGAACGCGTTCCAATTACTGTAACATAATATACATAAGCGGAGCCGAGGAAAATTGCTAAAGGCACGTGGGTAGACACGTCGCTAATTCCGCTGGAATTTTTAACCCACGTCATTAAACCGTCCAATGTATGTGTATGCACGCAGATCTCTTTGTTTACAAACTCTTTTGATGTGTCATATAGCTTAAAACATTTTCTTTTTTTTCTAGGAAGAAGAAAAAATTTAGATATTAAATATACAAATATGGAATGATTATCTTTCAATATACAATTTATATATGCAATTTTCTTCATTTATTATCACTTTCAATCATTTTAACGACCATGTCCTATATTAAATGTGCGCAGATCAAATGGAGACCTGTTATTTGTGGCCTGATTTTACAATTTGTACTTGGACTCATTACACTTCGATGGCCTGTCGGTCGCAGTATTTTCCAATGTATCTCCAAGAAAGTGGCAACTTTCTTGAATTACGTTAAAGCCGGCGCAAGCTTCGTATTCTCGGAAGACATAGTCAACAAGGGAATCTTTGCGTTCACCGTTAGTTGTGTGATTTAGTATATTATAACACGTTTAGAAATATAGAATTAAATATAAAATAATAGACGTCACATATATTTAACAATTATCTTATAAAGGAATGATACAAGGAAATAAGAATGGTAAATTATTATTAAATTAAATTAAATTAAATTAAATTAAATATTTAATGAAATTATAAATTAAATTTCTTATTTGTTAAGAAATTATTGATTAGAAATTATTGAATTAATGATTTGATGATTGGAAAATTTTTACTTTACTTTATTTATCCGAAAATTTCTTTCAACTTATAATTTCGTCATAAACTGCTAATAAGAAAACATTTTAATTTATATTAATGGTATATTCCGCTTTGTTAGGTACCGCCCGTGATCTTTTTCTTCAGTTTCGCGGTGAACATCATGTCCTATCTCGGTGCATTACAATGGATAATCATGAAACTAGGATGGATTTTGCAAAGCATAATGAACACAACGTTGTGCGAGTCAATAAGCGCCACCGCTAATCCTTTCATCGGAATGGTAATATCACCGCAACTGAATCAGTGTAACTTTATATTCTCACAAAATTAGAATTTCCTGATCATAAAAATTCGAAACTATGAATTCGCTGTGTTTCCCAGTCGGAATCTCCCCTGCTAATCCGACCGTATATCAATGAATTGACTTCCTCGGAGTTGCACGCGATACTGTGCTCAGGATTTTCCACAATCTCTGGTCTGTCACATGTGTTGTACGAGATTTACCGGTGTCATTAAACTATAATTTATAGTCGTGTTTACTTGCCCGTTATAGGTTCAACATTGGCCGCTTACATAGCATTCGGTGCAGAACCGGCTCATTTAATAACCGCCTCCGTGTTGTCTGCGCCGACTGCTTTAAGCTACTCCAAGCTCTTTTATCCGGAAACCAAGCAAAGTCTCACGAAATTCGAAAATATCAAGCTTGCAAAATCGTAAGTGCGAAACCTTTACAAAACATCCGTTTCAATAATGGCTGTCGTGAAAATTCATATATGTATATTATATTTATATATAGATCGGACAACAGCATTCTAGACGCCGCTACCAATGGTGCATTAGCTGCGCTGCCAATAGTTTTGGGTATAATCGCGAATATCGTGGCTTTCGTATCCTTCATTGCGTTTTTAAACGGTATGCTTTCTTGGTTCGGTGGTCAGGTCGGTTACGAAGAACTGAGTCTCGAGGTAATGAATCTTTTGGCGCTCGTGACCTTTCCAGCGGCTAGAAATGTATCTACTTGAGCAAATTTTAGATTTCCAGTTTTGCAGATTATTTTGGCGAAAGTCTTTATGCCACTAAGTTGGATCATGGGCGTTCCTTGGGAGCATTGCGAGGACGTGGCTACGTTGATAGGTCTGAAGACGGTGGTCAATGAATTAATCGCATATCAGAAAATGGGCGAGTTTAAGAAGCAGGGCAGAATATATGGGAGATCGGAAGCGATCGCCACATACGCAATCTGCGGTTTCGCGAATCCAAGCTCGATCGGCATCCAGATTGGCGTCTTTGCTTCTTTAGCACCGGAGAACAAGGAGCGAGTAACGAATGTTATTTTACGAGCCTTCATTGCTGGCAGCGCCGTCTGTTTCCTCACGGCCAGCATCGCCGGTAAGATTGAAATCTAACGTGACTCTGTTGTTAGAGAGAAACTACCTTTTAATAAAATATCTTCATAAATATTCATTTTACACAAAAATAAAGTAATTTTAAAAGGGCTACATTTTAGTCGTCTTAGTTTTTTTTTAAGTGGAAGCGGCAAAAAGTTTTGAATGTCATCTCAAATTTTTTAAAAGGAAAGCCTTATTTTCAATCTGCTATAATTGTAGATTGTAGAGGATCAAAAGACGAATTCAATGATCTATAACACTTCAAATTTTCCAATCAAGTTTTACTTTGTTTTAGGTATGCTAATCGACGATGTTGCATCACCGTTCTCCGCAAACGTTACAATTTCAAACGTTACATCAGCGACAACACTAAATACTCCGTTAATTTAAATTGAGAGGTTGCGTTACAGCAATCCTATTACAGAGGCATTTAATCATAAAATTCAATTATTCTGAATTGATTATATCATACTTGTTTGAAAAGAAATGCCAGTCACAAAGAACATCTCTTGTTAAATAATTGTAAATAGGTAGCGATGTTGAGAGAGAAAGACACATTTTAATTCCATTATGGACTTTTTATCAGTAATATATTTTTATACAATATTGTTGTAGAAACATCAAAATAACTTATAAATGATATACATACGAGATCATCGGTTTTGACCGAAAACATAGCCTAGCAAATTCTTTCATCCAGCAAAATCACCTTCGCGCTTAGTAATGCATACAAAACTAAAATGACAGAAGATCATGTGTGTGAGAGCGATACATTTTACTATCTTATTTAACCTGTGCAACTATTTGTACGTTTTGTCAAGTATATATAACCATGTAAGTATCGATCGCGCATAATGGAATACGTATTTCCCCAAAAGTGAATGTGCTTATTTATTATATGTCGATAGTAATTGTATTACAATATATCTTATACCACAATAATATCACAATATCTTAAGAATATAGAATGTCGCGTGCGGTGCTTTGAGAAGCTAAAAATTTCGAATGAAAGTATCATTTTTATATTTTTTATGATCACTTATGGTAGAGCGTGCAGCTGGTAAGACTCATAGATGATGTCAGTGCGGTTAAACACGTCGGCAGTGACCTCCAACATTTTTGGCAGAACATCTATGTTTCGTTGAATATTTTCACCACAAACCTGAGGAGTAGATGCAAGTGAAGAGAAAATCATTCGACCACCTTCGGCATTCTCTTTAAAAAGATTCGATTAACCTTTCTGTTTACCTTTCTTAATAGGGCCTCCCTATTAGGCATAGCATACATGGCAACTATTGCGGCCTTCCTGATCACCCATGGATGATGTTTTGCCAAGGTTTTGTTATACGCATCTTGACAACAACTAGATGTTTTGTCACCATCTGAGAGATCACCCAATTGTCGCAGGAATTCTCTAATAAAATCTAGAAGATTGAAATGTGCGTCAGCAGACTTGGATTTTTAAGCAGTACCAATGATAACAACATAGTACCTAAGCCTCTATGTAGTCGCAATAAAGTACGTGTGCCATTAGAAAGATCAGGTTTTTCTAGCTGTTTGTTTTCCTTCTCATATTCAATCATAGATTTGACAGTAGTATACTGCTGATCGTTTTTCTTTAATAAATTAGTCAGGATGTCTATCTTTTGCTTCAGGTCAGAAGAAACAAAACTAAAGACACTGCCCATTAGCTGAAAAAATCTGTACACACAGCATGTTACGCAAGCATAAATGCTATATAGATACAATCTCATATCTCTGATATCACAATTTAATAAGAGATATCATGATTAAGTTGTTGACTTGAGCAAAAGAAGTAGATAAGGAGTAAAAAAGTAGCAAAAGAGTTTAATATCAGAATTATAATTTTTACATATTTCTAACATATAACGTTCGTGCAAAACTTCATTAAATTTTAGACAAGAACATTATATGTAAATTTTATGTGTTAAATAATAAACAATACAATAAAAGTTCTCTTAATTCAATAATGTAAAATTATTTTAAGTTAAGTTGTCACTTGTTTAATTCTTTATTCGACTTTCGTATGTTACTAAAAAATGCCACAGGTTGCTAAATAAATCCGTCAACTATTAACCGTATAAATTGATGAAGAAAGAACAATTTGAAATCGATGCACATAATGAAAAGGTTATGTTAGATGATGAAAACAGATGAGCTACATGACTTACTTGTAGAGTTCGTTGTAAGCGTCTAGATACGCTTTCAGAATGATATCGTCATTTTCCGTGAGAGATTGGTCGAAATAATCATGCACCATATGCAAGTCGAAAAAACTCAATTCCGGTCCCTCCGCCATTGTCGGGTTACTGCATTCAACCAAATGACTATTGAAACTGCTTCTGCGCCAACGTTATGATAATTCGCGCTATCTTCTTTGATTATCCATATAACCCTCGAACTTAAACAGTACAATTATATAACCGCCAACAATCATGACTGCCTATTGCAATCACTACGACAGGTATGACGTGGTCAACAATGACAGCGTCATTTCCAAGATCGATGACTGTTTGCTTTTACCGTTCGGATTGTCACATTCGTTCAGGTTTCCTCGAGGAACAAAGAAGGAAAATATAACAGCGCACTCTGCTAAAGACATCATACCTAATCTTCGCACGATAACTTGAATAACATATGTTTAAATCATTGATTTATAAATTCAGAGAAAAAATGAATGCTGAAGAAATGTGATGATAATGATAAAGATATTTTAAATGACATAAACCTACATATGCATATACATTCATATCTTGATTACACAAGTGCATCAAGTTCTTACCATGTATATTTTTGATCCAATTTTTATTTAATTGGAAATAATATATTATATCAAATATAAATTATTCCAAAAAATCTAATTTTTTTCTCTCTATCTCTGAAAGACATGCTATGTTTTTACAATAGAAGATAATGTGAAAGGAATATTACCGGTGGAAGAGAAATAAAACATTTTCTTGCGAGCAATACAAGTATTTTCGACCACATTATACAATTCGTTGCGCCCGCAGACGTGTTCTAACGCGCGTGTGTCCTTTGTTTGGATCTTATTTTTGGGTTTTGATCTCTTCTATAAGGAGGATTTCGAGGAACATTTAATATTTTTCGAGGATCTTACATATTTTTACCAGTTGTTGATTTCATGGAAGCTACATATTTTTCAAAAACCTATTACATGTTTTAACTAAGAATCCTTTATCAGTTGATGGCAACAAGGACGAACACTCGTCGATGCCAATAAGTTGTAGAAGAAGATCACATTGTATACTCGTCTACATAGTACCATCATCTTCCATAAGAGGCGCTACTCTGGAAGAGCTAATTATGGATCACAATTATTTTTTATTTTTAAGATAAACAACATTCTATCGTAAACAAGAATATGTATATACAAGTTGTGCCAGACCTACCGCACCACCTGTTAATGGCAGATTCTCGAGATCATATTAAAATGATTTTTCCTCAGCAAAAATGTCGAGGCATCAATAATTTCCGTGTTATAAAAGCGATTTAAAAAAAGGGCTTTTTGCAAACTAAATCGTATAAAGAGTTAAAACTATTCTTCAGTTAATTTCAGATAGAGTTTACTTTTTCTTCAGTTAATTTCAGATAGAGTTTACTTTAATAGAGAAAGAGAATTTTAATATAAGTTAGGCTTAGTTATAAAGATATATGATGGAAAAAATTGGAAACTTGCAAAAAATAATGATCTCTCTCGACATTTTCGCTGAAGAAAAATCATCTCCAAATGATCTCAAGAATCTGCCATTAGCAGATAACTCTGGGACACTCTGTATATGTATGTATCTATGCATATGTATATATACATACATTAAAAAAAAATATATTTTGAAATTTAATTCGATAATTCTTAAAACTTAATCGTATAAATATATCTCATGTTCTCTGATTTTCTCATCAAACATGACACGTATGCACAGGCTGAAAACTGCCTTCCATCTTCCGATACACAGTAGGAGTTGTTATATTTGCACATTATTTACTCCCCGACCTCTATTTGTCGAACAATCGCCCTGTGCATTTACCGAGTTGGTTTCGACGAGGGGAACTGAGAAATTCTTGCGAGTATCTTCCCACCTCACTTTCGGCTTATTTGAACTATTTGGAATATTTCAACATTTCCATGCGCACAAGTGATAAAAATATGTAGAAAAAGGATTGGACTTGACTTTTCTTTTTCTAATAAAATAAAGTTAATGCTTACATAATAAAACCACGTTTCTCATATTTCAAATTTCAATGTACAAATTTGTGTTTCATGAAAGAGAACATATAAAATAAAATTCTTTTCTTTATACTCTCTATTCTTCAAGTGATTGCATAATCTGTATTTTCATTCAACTATGCGTCTGATAAATTGAATTTATGACACTCATACTCAATCTATTTCGAGTATTATTACTAAAAATTGGTGCAATACATATGATATAGTGATGCTCAGAGTTGCGTGGCCATTGATATCGTACATATGACGACGGCGAAACATAAACAAAGAATAGCAAAATCTCGCTGACACATCGATTCACATAGGTAACCGGTCTCCCTGGGAATGCTAAATAATTCACCGCAGCTGGGACTGTGAAAGTCGGACGGAGAAGCGTGGGGTTTGCGGAGGAGCAAAGGAGAGGCGGGGGTTGGTTGAAGGGTCCATTAAATATTCAGATGTCCCTCAACGCAAATAGAGTAAAGTCAAACGCGACGTCGAGCGCAGAGGCGTGTAATCTAAAAAACTACGCGAGGTCGGAATGAAAACGAAAGCATCTTCGCCTCCGATAGCGATCCCTTTCTTAGCGTTATGGCCAACATATCTCGGCCATGCCGAAGCTCTCGGCTCCCGATGAGGAAGATTGCCCTGAAGAATCGTCCGCGCGAGGAATCGCGATGAATATTTTCCCGGTCGGACGTGAAACGTGCCCGTAGAGATGTGTTTTTACGACGGCGACACATTTCCGGTCAAGCGATGTCAC